CCGGAGAAACAGCTCGCGACTCATGCGGTATCGACGTCGAAATAGAGTGGAATTGTATTGTGATACGTTTGTAATCCTTAAAAAGAGCTACCATCATCATTGGCCGGGTTGTTGTCGAAGTACTGTAGTCCCAGAGCTGCTTGTCACCAATACTGCGATGCCTGTCAACGTTCGCATTGCGACCTGGGAGTGATCCTTGGTTAGCTTTGGCAGTCGGAAAGTAGGTCCGCATGTATTCATCGACAGTATCGGTGTCATCTGACGATGACGACGACGAGGTCAGCTTCATACGGCTCATTTTCTGAAATAAATCTCATGGGTGTAGTTGAGGGCAAAATGCACAATGAATTAACTGAAGATCTACAAAGATCTCCTTAATCCTCATCACTATGAAATTTTCTTAGTCTACTTCACTACTTCTACACTAATATGCACTTTTGTATACAATGGATGCGGGTGCGGTTGAGACATTGGGGAACTTCACTAGGCTAGCGATTGTAAGCCATATTTGCCCTTGAGACACATTCCCAGGCAAGCATTAGCTAGGGTTCGTCATGAGCCAGGTACTTAGGAGCTGGGTGCGGGCAAGGTGGTGGCAAGCCGTTAACCCACCTGTCACATCGCTACATGTTCGATGGTATCTATCCTGCCTCCAGCCACTTTGTGCCATCGATTCCTCAGCCAGTAGACTTGACTGCAAAGCGCTTTGCCACGGACCAGGAAGTCGCGCGCAAGGACGTCGAGCGTTGCTCTGGAGTACTCCAACAGCGGTTCGCTGTGCTGCGCAACCCATGCAGACTATGGGTCCCCGATGCAATTCACTTGGTTGCAACGGTGTGCCTGCTTTTACACAACATGATCATACAAGACGAGGAAGTACTTACAGTGCCACGGGACCACCTCGAGGAGGCTGAGGTTGCACGCTGCAACATCGTCGTTACCGAGAACTACCTTGGCCCAATGCAACGCGATCTCGCTGCGAAGCGGTGCTTTGATTCCTCCGAGTATGAGCGAAATGAATTGTCTCGTTTACAATATTGCATTGATTCAGCATACCTCGCCCGTTCACGGCGACAACGACACCTAAGAAAATATTTCATCGAAAAAATCCTTCTCTGGCAAACTGTTTTGTTTTGAAATAATGTGAGTTAAGTTCATAAAAATACTGTACATGGAAACGGAACGATTTTTGAGTTGGTGCTAGTATTAACAACTACTAAATCCATTAGATTTATTCCTCGTCGTTATCATTGGCGTCTTCTTCAACAATTGCAGGCTTCGCCGTTTCCGTAACAGCTGAAACGGAGCCAGAATAAAATTGACCGGCGCGATGCAGCAAACGAGCTCCCAACTGTCAATTGAATAGGATCGCTTCCTCGGAATGAGGATCCTGAGCAAATACTTGAAACATAAATTTCAACTCGGTTAATTCTTGATGTTGAGCCAGTTTCTTCGCCTTCGCTTCAGGTGCCTTCACGAATCGAGCGTGTAGCTCGTCGTGAGCTTGCATAGATGTGACTTGCTTGGCCAGTTTCGCTTGCTTCGTACCAGTGAGGCGAAGTATTTCGATGGCATTACGTTATCCCCGGGACACGTCTTCGACCCGCCATTTTGGAGCATCGCACACGATACGCCAGTACGCCAAGACTATCGTGCGCTTGATGCCATGGAGTTTGACATCGGGAATGGCGTATAATTCGTTGTCAATCACGCCGTCTTCATTCCAGCCTGATGGGATGGCCTTGAGTGCTTGAATAATATTGCTGTTGAAACTTGTCAACATGGGACATAGCTTTTTCCATCGCGAGGCGATCGCGACGGGCGAGCGGCTGCCATGATTGGTGGTGGTCTTGTTCTCGTGCCAGTGTTCATACACATGCTTGTTGAAGTCCGAAGCTTTCTGACCCGCAGCAGTTGACGAGTGAAGGCGTTGGCGCACAGGTTTAAGGTGCACCACGATCTCAAATTGGCCTATTGTCCATGGCGGAACGGCACAGTGGAACGTATGAATTTCGATATTCTCCAAGTCATACGCGTGATGCTACGGGACTACCAGTTGGACGAGAAGGAATGGGACTACCTCCTACCGGTGGTGCAGTCCAATCTGAACCAGACCCCGGCAGTGTCATTAGCCAACAAGTCCCTCATGGAGCTCTTCACGGCCCTCAACCCAGCGACCCCTTTGGACGTCGTTGTGGTGGGCGTGAACAAAGTGGCAACACAAGGACATCCAAAAAAACCTCGACGAACTACGTACAAGTTTACATGCGATGCACAAAGAAGTGCTGAATCGCAACGAGCTACGGACGAACAAGGCGACGAAAGCCACAGAAGATTTCGAAGCCTGCAATGTGACTGAAGGTGATTACGTGTTATGGTCAAGGGTGGATGAGCGCTACCATCCCAAGCTACTCGTCACCTGGGTCGGTCCGTACCGCGTCGAGTCAGTGGGTGAATTCTCCGTGATGTTAGAACATCTGGTGACACATGAAGAACGCGAAGCACATACGGCCCGCGTGAAAATGTATGCGGAAACGAGTTTTGAAGTCACAGAAGAAATCCTCGAGCATGTTTCCGAGCAAGGCATTGTATCGCAAGTTAAATCCATCGCGGGAGACAAGTTTGTCCCAGATGTGAGCGACTTCATGTTGAAAGTATTTTGGGAAGGCTTTGAAGACATCGAATCTTCATGGGAACCTCTCAACAAGCTGATGCGCGAATGCCCAGCCGTGGTCAAAGCGTATGCGGCGACCAAGAAAAATGCCGACACGAGACACTGGCCAAGGCGATGAAGCGGGCAAGTGCGGTGCAGTAGTGAAGCGAAAGACTATGTGTCATGGCGATGACATGGCTTGGGGTGTTTGTTGTGGTCGGTGGCTGTCAGCCATGGCCCGCCATGACACACAGGGACCCTCGATGGGGTCCCTTGGCACCAATCCTGTGAACCGACGCATTAAATACACTCTAGTAGTACTAGTAGTAGTTGAAGTGTCGGTTGGGAGTGGTCACCATGGTCTGCCAATCAGTGACCACGTGGGACCATCTACAACTTCAACAGAAGCTCACTCCTAGTTTTGCTCTGCAACGGACATAAGTTAACTTTGTAATGCCATACATACTACATACAAGTACGGCAAAGTCCTCAAAGGTAAACATCAACCAAACCACGTGATATTAACGATACTCATGATGTAGAATTTATGCACTTGCGTGTACTTGAATTGGAGAATGTAGATAGGCCACTGTCAACAACTTGACCCGTAAATAGTTCAATACTTGGAAGTACTTCCTTCATAACAGAGATATACTTACGGATCTTGTGTGCTTATGGCCCACATAAGAATTTCCATAAAGTCTTGATATTCGCAAACGCGTCCAGTTCGACTATCAACTCATCACTATAACTCTTCCAAAACGATCACTCCTTCCGACTACGTCCTAATACAACGCAGCACAACTTGCGTACTGCTAACGTGACATACCTACTGTAGTGCAATCAATGGGATTACCATTAGGATGCCTCATATTCCCTTTCGGCATGTGACGTGTATGATGATAGAGGAGGATTGGACAATTGGAGCCCGGCAATTTGTGATTTTCTTGAGATCTCATTGGATATGAAAATCGTAGGACCAGCCCCCTACGATTTCGTCAATCGACAAATGAATTGCAAAATTTTATGTTTGCTACAAATTCGTATACAACTTCGAGGACCAAGTCATACTGCATGACCATCGCCCAGGCTCAATGCGTGCGGATAGGAGCAAGGGATCGCATTCTACCGGTAGTACTGTAGCTCACAAGCTACAGCTAGCAATGTAGCAAAGAGAATAGAACGATCCTATTATTGGCCAGCTATTTTCACCTTAATATAATTGGACAGAAATTTGGTAAGGCAGCCTGGCTTACGAATTCATCAAAAAGATGCGTTGAGAGGAATTTAAATTATTCCATACAAAGATGAAGCTTCGTTCAATAAAATTTGAACTATTTCAGATCGATTTATGGAATTCGTAAGGCAGCTCACCTTGCGAGCCTACTAAAACCTACTGTTTCTCCTTACGAATTCTGTATTATGTACAATTAACGTTAAAAGTAGTGCACCACTATTTCTTCCTCAAGGCTGGACACGATTTGATTCTACCGGTAGAGTGTTGTATGGTGATGATGAACAATGTCCTAACGTTACCATATCGTTTGAGGATCGAAAAGTTAATCATTTCCCGCAGCCTCCTGGTCAAAGTCCCAATATTTACATTGGTAGTAACGCTAACGTTATACTTCCGGTAACAATACTGTTGAGAATTGTATGTAGGTCGTGGATAAGGTGGACAGCAACAGCGTGGCCAACCGTCAACTGGGCGCTTCGTTGTCCATGATCATTCGACTGTACCGCGGAGCCGCCCGACATCATCACGTACACATTTGTCATGGACGACGACAGCCATTCGTTGGTAGACATGCGGCCCAACGGGTTTGGATGGTATGTGCAGCATATGTAGCGTGTAAATAAGGGGGGTTGTGGTGGGGGTAGGCACGTGTTTAATAGCGTGGCTGAGTCGGTGACGTTGGTGCGCGAGATGAACGTTCCATACGCCCCCGTGACGACCCAAGGTGTGGTGCCGTTGGCCAAGAACAGTCGCTCGCATCTTTGGTCAATCTGGCTGCGATGTGGAGTTCCCCGAAGCATACATAGGTTGCCTTCAATCAACCGCGGACGCCAACTACTACCTCGGCAAACAACTCACGTCGAAGCACATCAGCGACAGCTTGGACAGGACTATGTGACGATGTATTTTCGCAAGTCCGACCAATCAAACGCCTAGTCGCCAACGTTGAAGGGATACACGTCGCGAACGGATGACGTTTACAAAACGACCAAATGAATGGTTGAGGCTCCACATAGAGTGTATTCAGTTGTTATATCTTCTCCAACGTATGTCGGAGTCAAGTCTCGGAGCTACCTAGCCGCCATCACTGGAACTTTGGCTAACGTTACTAGAGTTGGCTGGTTCCTTGTGGTTATTTTGATTGCTCACGTTACGAGGACATACAGTATTATCGTGGTGACGTCCATACGTAGCCAAGCCAAGCACCAGGTTGTCGTGAGGTTCCTATCACTCAATGCCTGGTACACACGACATCATGTAAATTAGGATGGGTTTACATGAGCCACGGGCAGTTGGACGCAGCATGATGCAAGCACGGGGAAAGTGGCGACGACGATTCTATTTTGTTCTCGTTGCTGCTGTTGCACGCTTCATTGCTCAGGACGCACACACTTCGGTCCTCGTGTAGACACGGACAATGCGAGGTCGCGGGCAGGGCCAAGCTGTGTATCAAGCTCAATCGGATCATTTCCACAGCAGCATGGTCATTCATGCATTCGACAAAGCAATCGGCGGCGCGGGTGCAAAAGAGGGGCCGCCATTTGTACTGGCAGTGCGACTCCACCAGTCGATGCAAGCCACCCCCTCCGTTGCGCACCAGAGGGGGATTATTGATGACCTGGTCCCGACCACGGTATATGATGTATCGACACGAGCCCAGAACGACGCGCTGCTTGAGGTCGTTGAACTTGGTCATGGACGCAAACGAGTCCAATTCCCGCCGATGGCGCCCTAGCATGCAACGCCGCCGACGAGATGATAGCAACAAACATGTTAGCTTGTCGATATATACATGTTGTATTCTCTTACGAGCGAGAAACATGTGTACTCGACGCAGCATGTACGAGTGCAGCAGCGGCGCCGAGCCAAACAACGCAAAGAAACATAACGTGCCTAGGACACATCGTTGACCTCTTGGGTTGCAAATCGATGCATGTACACACCGGTGGAGATCTCGGACGTTTCGAGGGGCGCGGCAACCAAAAACGTAAACATCCCCTGAAATGGCACCATGAGGATCGAATTGGTCGCAAGCCACATGATCGGGCCGGCGTAGACCGACGACGAGATGGCCATCCATCCTGAATCTACGGGGTCGAAGTACTCCTCGAGGTGCCAGCGTTTGATCGGCCATGACGCCACGTGCATGGTCAAGTACGCCACCCACGCCTACAATGCAAAACGCACCACCGTATAATAACGTTTCCAAACATTAGCGGAGGTAAGTATTTAGAAACGTACGAGGCGCGATCCATACAAACAGCCGAGGACAAACTGCACGGCATCACCGACTTGACTGACGCGATTGCCAGCGACACCCATGTACGACGCACTCGCAAAGCAATCCACAACCATGGCCAGCGACACAAACGGATGGCTGAGAATGAGCCACGTAGGGTCCCCGACGTGTAGCACGTACGAAACAGTGGTGTCCCCCACATAATCGTCGCCACCCCCACTGCGCGGCAGACCGAGCGTCTTGAGATTGACAATCAGCGACGAATAGTGCGAAAAGTACGACACCCACAGTTGTCGCCATATGACCCCCACGAGCATGCACCGGAGGCCAAGTTTGACCCAGGCGAAGGCCACGCTTTCCCACAACAGACCAGCGTGATAGACGGCGTACTTCGGAGACCAACAAACGTCGTCGCATTCGTCAAGGGCTTCAATCCACGTGCACACTTCGACCGCCGGATGGCCAAGCAACTGGTCTCGTTGACACGAGATCCACGGTGCGGTGCGTTGGCGAGTGGAAGTGTTTTGAGCGAGGAAGTCGCATACAAGCGCTTGGGTGCCCAGACCGTAGAAAAAGGCACCTATCGTTCGTTGGTAGGAGGAGTTGTATGAAAAGAAGACATTGACTGACCTGGGAAACGAAGCATGGAAGTTAAGCAATGGGTGTCTTCAGGATCAAGAGTCAACTTGTATCGAAGCACAAATGTATTGCGAGAGAGATCGCGTGAGAAAATGTCGGCTGGTGCCATCGTCTGGTTGTTGTACAACGATGCCAGGTAGGCATGTGTTGCGGCAGTGTATGTATCGAACGTGGCATTCAGCGGGATAGCCAGCTGCGGCGGCTGCATGGACCACGGGAACGATTCGCTGATGTACGCTTTCAGTGGCTACAAAACCATCACGTTGGCATCACACATGGGTACTACAGTAGAACAGTACGTACGATGGCCGACAAGTTAATCACGTTTGCAATTCCAAGCGCAAGCGACGCCTTCCCAAACGAGACCTGGTGTGGCCGTCGACGTGGTCGTGGTAGCTGCGCTTGTTGTTGGACATGTACTTTTGTCATGGATGTGGTCGTAGGTATTGGTATGTCCATCCACTTGCAGGTTTCACATTCGGGAGTTACAATAATCATTTGAACGCACCAGTAACAGTTACGAGCCCGTCGATGCTGTTTCTTGATGTAGTACGTGCAATGAATTTGACGTAGCAATCATGTGGACGCCCTTTTCGAAGTAAATTTACTGCAAAAGAACCGCCAGTGATGTCGACGTATGCAACGCTAGCTATGAATTGCCTTCGTATTGTCCCAACGGACATGATAAAGTTGCAAATATGACCCCTACAAGGCGCAGGGATTTCTTCTCCAACGTGACCATATTCTGCAATTCTCGTCAACTCTGGTGCTGGACTTTCTACGTAACGTTTGTGTTTTAACCGTTTCACTTGAACGGTTACATGAACCCTGTACTAGGGGTATACCGGTAGCTCGACAGTGGAATTAGGTACGATGGAGTTTGGCCTGAATCTCAATCCGACAGAAGCACCCATTTCAAGGTCCATTTCTGTGCAACTTGTTTGCTGGAGAAAGCATGACCCTAATGACACTGGACTTGGTTCGCATTGCGTATTGATCTTGGCAGCATCATCGTTGGCCAGGTACCCATAGTAATTTCGCATCGATATCCCTTCCACGAGGCACACAGCGTACAGTTCGCCCGCGTTTCTCCAAACAGTCGCGGACGTCAATTTCAACATACCACGTACAATATTGGTATTTGGTGCAGCCATTCAAGGGAAGCGTTTGTGAACGCCAGAGCTGCTTACACAGCTTCTTGAAGGAGAAGGCTGTTGTCGCTGCTGGGGACAATTAGCTTCTGGATCGAATCGTATTTACTTCGAAATACTATACGCATAGTAGCAGTCTAGCAGTAAGGAACTTCAGTACGGAATGCAACACATGAGCCAGCGCTTGTCTCTCTCGCGTTGAGGACAATGGTACACGAAAACGATCCACAAGACGGGAGCGATGAGCATCGGCAAGCCAAATGTCTTCGAGAGCGTAAGTATCGTGCCACCAAGCGCAGTAAACGCAAAAAGTTGGAGGCCGAAGTCCAGTACTACGAAGATCAATAGGCCAAAGTCGCAGCGGCTAGTACTTCGACCTGACCACGCGACAACACGTGGCCGTCCGTCGATTCCTCGAACGACTGGCGGCATGTTGGCAGAACATCTTGCTCCATGCGACTCGCTGTGGTCAAATACATCTTGTGCAAGCCATGCAAGCGTGGATAGTTGCCTAACAGTCCCTGTCACAGGTAGTTACCAGCATTCATTCGACGTATGCATGTGCATTATACGATGAAGGCGCAGACATCGTGGCTGCAAGCTACACTCGTGGTCGATCCCGTCGCGATGCGGCACGGGTACGAGTGGCTCAGCGACCGCATCTACCATGCGGCGGCGACCGCGAAGAAGTTCCATCGACCTCTTGGAACCAGCGTCGATGACGCCGCAGGACTGACGCTCCACACACGGGAGGCAGACGACGACAGGACGGTGACCATTGCGGCCATGGAGACCCATTCCCAGCACACGATTCTGCACAACTTTGAGGCCGTTTCAAACGCGATGCGGACATGCATGGGTTACGGTCGAAATTCGCTGATTTTTTCCGAGGTACAGTCGTATACTGTATGTAGAATGAAGCTACTGTAGTGCAGTAATCCAAAGTGTGTACTATGCTACTACTATATGTAGGTTGTCGACATGGTGGACGGCGGGCAAAGCTTTTCGTATGAACACACCTGAGCGGCTGCACCTGAGCCGCCGCCTAGGTACGTCCCTGCGCAACGTCGTGCGGTTCTACTACCCTACCTCGACCGTCGTGCTAATAACGTACTGCTCGGTGCTGGGCGACGAGACACATCCGCGGGTCGATGGCTCACGAGCGCGGCCGCACGGATTTGCATGGTGTTCAAGGGGATTTGTAAGCGTTTAAATAACTCACTGGGGTAGGTCCATATTGAACCGAGTGACCGAGTCGATCGCAATATGTCGACACTCTCGGCTGCAGCAATCGCCGGTAACCATGCGAGGAAAGATGACGCCGGCCGACCACAGCCGCATATTTGGCCAAATCTCGACAGACCGTCGGTTTTGCCCAGTGCCAAGGCGTTGGTCGCCAAAGTACACGTGGCAAATACATAGTTCCTAGCCCGACGAGACTATACTATACATGTACTGGTGTTTCACTCGACTTCAGACTTCCGTCGATTGCTAACGTTACATTGAACTAAGAAGTACATAGCGAGTACACAATTTGGAGGCAAATCTTATGTAGTACTTCGAAGTACTAGTAGTCACTATCGTTGTTCAATGCTGCATACCGACCGGATCGTGAAAAAACTACGTGAAAAAACTACGTAGGAAGCTACACATGCCACGGAACTATCAAAGTTGCAGCGCGCTCAACCTCTGGGTACGAACAAGCCACTACCCTAAATTTACCAAGAGCCAGCCTTTTTGAAATGCAGTAGTTGGCTAGCGCTGTTCACATCAAGCCCCACTATTCTCATCCACGTCAGACTTCTCCAGGTCGAGGCAAAACCCGCGAATGGCCGGCATGTGCGTACGGACCAAATTTTCTTCCGCGGCGGCGGCGATCGCGTCCACGTACGCGTCTGCAGACTCGGCCCCCCTGGACGGTAAGCCAAAGAGCCGACCGATCTCGTTTAGTGTCATGACCGTGCTTTGGGAGGTGAGGGGGGTGCACTGCAGCATCGAGTACCTCACCAACGTGATTCCGTGCGACACGGGCTCGTACACGGTCCTGCACGTCATCGCATGTAACAGCATCATTAGAAATCCATACAGGACAAGACAACGCACCAGCCAAACCCGTACGGCCGCAAGTCTCCTGGCGCCAACGGCAAGCACTCGTCGTGCGCGACCAGCATGTGGGCCACCACGACACGAGATCCATGTTGAAATCGACCGCTGATGGTCAGCGACGTTGTCCCGAGGCGGTAGTTATAATGTGTAAAGTACACCAAGCGTTCATGCACAGACGCGACCACCTACTCCACAGTATATAGCTTTGTGACAACAACTAGTACTAGTCATTTTAACCTGATGACAATAGAGGCTGTTGGAGCGTGACGTGGGCCACCTCGCTTTCGCGACGTCATCCAATGCAGCAAACACGGTGAACTGGCAATGGCTTTCCAACGCCTCGATCGTCGTGTCGTCGTCGGTATCGTCGTGGCGACGATGGACGTGTAGCTTCCACGAATCGGCAATGTTCGTCGCGAATGGATGTTGTGGCATGGCCGCCATCGCCGAGTGGAACACTCGTTCGCTGAGCCATTCAAGCGCATAAGTTCGTTCGTGTTGGTCAGATGTGAGAGAGGCCACATGGATCCGCGAGGCGATGGACAAGCACTAGATGACATACATGAGAACAACACATGTGAAAAAGGCTTGCATATTGTACATGAGGCAAATGCGGCGGTGGACTGGCCACCCACATTGCCATGGTCCGGACGAGGTTACGATGGGCTACCACTTGAGCTCGAAGTACAGCGGTGTGTCTGTGAACGGCTTTGGCAACGTCAAGATTCGACGATAAAGACAAAGGACCATTGACTGGGTGCGGAGGGTGGTGCAGAAGTCGATGCCGCAGGCGGGGGGCGGACTGCGGCGGCGCCAAAGCTGTTGAGTAGTACTTGGCCTGCATGAACCGCAGCCTCGCCATCAAGTCGCCAACTTCTTCCTCAAGCATCTTCAGCTCGGATCGCTTGGCTGCGCGATATCGCCGCTTTCGAAGGCATTCAAAGCGCCTCTTGTCGTCGGCGACGTTCGTGGTCGGGCTAGCAACCATGTTTGTTGTGCTGCAATTGGTCGTGTTAACAGGAGTATTTATAATATAACAACACGGAAGGCCCGAACTGCTCACCACAAAAACTTATAGGTGGATAAATTGTATCCAAAATGTTACTAGGGGGTACTAGTACTCTTTGGACCGAGGTGCTATAACAAACGTCACGGAAGCTATGGGTACCACCTGCATGTACACCTTTGAGCGGAGGTGGATTGTCCAGGCCAACAGAGTACAGTGACGTTACAATAAAAATGTGTCATGGTGCAAGATATTTACGATGGGAACTAAACGTGCACTGGAATACCTCAAAGAGTACCGGATGGGTACTGGTTTGGTGCACGTCATCTACAAACTACAACTTTTCACAAAATTTTCTGACTTCTATTTCATACTAAGCTTACACTCAAAATTTCAGCAAAGAGTGAGTAGGTGAAGAAATTCTACGTCTCAGATTCAAAATTGGTGATGAATTAGTCCAGAAATAGATATTTAACGTATTAATAAGACTTTATATGTGGGCGCTTGGATATTTGGCCATTGGGATGTATCTTGATTTTTGTATGTGATTCTTATCCGTATATAATATCTGGAGGCAGTTGGGACCTTTAACCTCCTCACTGCAGTGATAAAACGCATGAAATCGGTATTTAACGTATTTGGGTTTTGGGTTTAACTACATCAAATTTACGTTAAATAATAAACTCTTCGATTTGGCCAGTTGGAAGTTTTTAGATGACGTGTACCATATATAAATCCATCAAGTCCGAAAAGTTCAGCATATACGATGTCGTAGTGGGATTTTGTAAACGTGATACGATAACAGTAAACACCAACAGGTGCCACATCTGATAGATGGGACGAGCAATTTCAATAAACGAGAAATAATGTCGTTGGTTCTTATTAGCCTCTTGTATGACCACACAGTAAACCACGCAAGCAGACACACTCCTATCCCTGCATGTGGGCGTTACCAAGTTGACAAACAGTGGGCTGCATTCCTCGTATATGCTACCACTAGCTCCAATCCTTTCGAGTTTGAGTTAGCTTAACTACACTGTAACGTTACAGTAGAGTGTGTTTCACCGAGTGTAATTACATTCATTCGCTTTAACTGTAGCACATTTCAAATCAGCGAATTGCTCCTGTCTACAGGTCAAATTCGGATTCAGTGAAAGCGATATATTTGTACGTACTTTATCGACTACGTTTTGGTGTAACGTAACCAAGTTTAGCATACATTACTGAACAAGAGGTCTAAACCTCCGCCAAGACACCACACAGTTCACAGTCGACGGCGGCAGATCATGCCTCGATCAGCACCCACGACGGCCGCATCCATCGAGGAGCGGCGGCATTCCGAGTCCCTCCGCAAACGAAAGTACCGCGCGGGGAAGCGCACCGAGCTCATCCAGCTCGAGACCGAGCTGCGAACACTGCAGGACCAACTGGCGTACCTCACGGCACCGCGGTCGTCGTCGAGCTTGTTTCCGTCGACCACTCCACCTCCCGCCATCATTGCCCGACGCTACAACGAATCTCTAAAGGCCCAAGTAACTCTACAACGCCGACTCGCTCGTACCATGTCCCTCTGGACAGCGACTCAGCAACCTCGACTCGTACGTACAGACAACATCTCCCATGTTCCCCCACTAGGGCTGTTGACAGTCGAACGTTCTCAGGGCCCAATAATGCGTTCGTCGTGGATGCAGTCCACGCTTTTGGCGAATCCAGCGGCGCGGCAGCAAGGCTACCGATGGCTCAGCGATCGTGTGTTGCATACGTCCCAGCGCCATCCCCATCCGTTTGGCGATGCCGTGGCCGACCGCGTGAGCGTCGTCGCGCATCGAGGCGAAGACACGGACGGCGCCACTGTCGCCGCCATCGAAGGCCATTACCAATTCACAGCATTCGGGGACTTTCGCCACGTGAGCCAGCGCCTCTGGGTCGCCAATATCGCACCCACCGCGGTCACCGTCATCCAAGTACGTACGTACGTCGCGTGATGGAGGTTAGGTTTTGTTTTACTTTTTTTAGATGCTGGACGACCAGCCGATAGACGGGCTCATGTATTACCACTCGACCAACCTGGTCACAAACGTGCGAGTGATTGCGCGGCAGTACATTGAAGCCAGTCGCGTGGTCCTCACGTACACGTATCTAGCCCACGACGAGTGCTTTCCCATGATACCTGGAGCTCGTGAATGGCGGCCGCACGGGTTTGCATGGTGCGTTCTCGTCCATATATATATATATGTATACTAGTAATAATTTGTTATACGAATTTTAAAATATTAAAAATTATCCCGCATGCAGCCCATTGGATGTATACATCCTTTGCGATGTGTACATATGTACTGTACGTAGTGTGGTGGATGTCGACTTCTTGTGGCCTTTTTTATATTATTGTTTTTCAAATGGTTGTGTGACTTGGTAGCCTCCCAGCAGTATTTTATACTCTTCGAAGTATTTATATACAAGTAGATATATAAATATATATTTGAACATGTGCATGCGAACGTGATATCTTTTTTGACGTGTGCGAGGTACACGTTTTGCCACACTCTTGACATGTAGGACGATTGTCGAGCACGTAACGGACCAAGTATCGTTGGTGCGGCACTCCAACTTGCAGTACACCCCTGTGACCAGCCAAGGCGTGGCGTCGCTGGCAGAGATTGCGCAACTGTTTCGAAGTCCGTTTCCCGAATCGGATGGTCAGAGTCCACTGAGAAATCGAGAAGCACGGGTCGTGCAGTTGCAAAGCGCGGCTGAAGCCATGTTCACACACATGTACACGAACATCCTGCGTCGTCTCAACCAAATGTTTGGGCCGTCGTAGATAGTAGTATAATTAACGTGTGAAAAGTGCATCATGGTGACTCGAGCAACTAGACGACGCGTCTGGGAAGTGCACGGTATGCTCACGGCTCTCTAGTATTTCTCGGGATGGGTGGGTAGTGGTGGTTGGACTGACCGACGGATTGGTGGAATGCGCGGCGCCATGCCATTGCTGTGGCAACACTAAAACTGGTTGCTACGTACTAAGTAGTATTGTCCTTTTACCCAAAAGTTCGAATTTTAGGCCAAATCTATCGATCGATTCTTTGTACGGACTTTTGTATTGTCAAGTCGATTCGAAATTGGGGTGGGTACGAGCAGCAAGACAATCGATCGACCAATCAAAACCCAGAACAGTAATCAATTGGCCAATCAAATTCACGCTTCGACCAATATTGGTATGTGACTGAAATTAGTGTGATACTGGACGATGTTTACAAACAAAAGTCAGGCAGCACAAAAGTCCAAATGCTGGGTTAAAGGACAATACTACCGCTTAGCACAGTGTATGTATTTTAATTTATTTATCTGGCAATATACTTTTTTTTGTATTATTATTAGGCTTTAATTTTTTTAACGATGGGGGCCTTTTCTTTTTAATTATTTATAAATAAATTTTGTAGGTTAATAACATATTTGAATATTCCCCTAAAAAAATAAAGCTATTTCATCTTTAAATAAATTAATATATTTTGAAAATATAAATTCAATAATTGGATTAAAAATATTAATTTTTGCTTTTTTTATTAGAAAAAAGTAAAGATACAACTATTTCATCTATTTTATTTTTAGGTGGCTGGTTAGCACCTTTTTATTTAAATTTTATAAAGTAATTTATGTAAACCAGGAATTTATTAATAGAAAATAGTTTAAAAGAAGTGTAAAAATGGTCAAGTGTCACACTAATTTAATTCACACACTAATTCGATGATGTTGAATTGGTCAAAGAGTGGATTGATTGGCTACTTGATTAGTGTTCTGGGTTTTGATTGGTCGATCGATTGTCTGCCCCACCCACTTGACAATACTATTATGATTTGGTCAGCGTGATTCGATTGACTGTGAACGGGGTCCGGAAATTCGTACCAAATCAATAATAGTATTGTCGATTTGTTTCTTCAAATTTCCCAAAATTTCCATGGTGCGCTGATTGGCTATTTATTATTCACTTCACCCTTTCAGTAGATTATCGAGAATGGAGTATAGCCAATCAGCGACTAGTACAGTAATTAAGGAATGACCAATGGGAGAGATTGGATTCGATGCAACGGGGTCATACCGAATTTCCAATACTAACTTACAGTAATACTGCATTCGCCAACAACAGTGGAGGAAGTGAGTGGCAGATGGGTCGAAAGGCCATATACTGTACAGCACGGGTGAGTTCTTTACAGAATTCTTGACGACTACAGTACAGCACATTGCCAAGGTCAATGTGACGACGTGTGGTTTGCATCCCTAGCAAAGGTTTCAGGGGCAAGGATTTGTACATGGTATTGGTACGCAGTAGATTTAAATCAACACGTGCAGGAGATACCTGTTCGAGGTTGGATAGATCAAATGACTTTTCATGAAGACTGGACGAGTGTGGTTTGTGTTGGTAGATGCCTTGGGGACACGGAGACTACAATTCGCCACACAGTTCCATCTTTACACACATTTCGATCTTACACGTAGCTCAGAGTTGTGCGCTTCATCAACCTCGAGCTGCCATTCACGTGTCAAAGCGCCAAGCATTTCGTAACGTTAACGTTATCTTCAAATTTGGACCGAAATTGTAAAAACGAAAACGACGTTGTAAATTTCCACGTGGAACGACTGGTTAGATATATTTATTTCGTGGGATCAAACGTTGAGTTTGCCAGATTGACACAGCACGGTCCAGAGACCTATTCTTGAACAATACTACCGTATACCCCCCGCTTCAGTACCTATGATTTCTCCGGACCGGTTTGGAACATACTAGTATCGGCCAATGACGAACATTTTCATGGTTCCAGTTGGGCGTGTACCTAGTTGTCTCTAATTGGACAGAAATATCCAATCAGCATGCGTTAATTATTTTCATCCAATGATGGATTTAGACCAATGCGCATGCCTGAATAGTTTTCAAGGTACCGCTTGGAGCTGTACCGGTTGTGATCAAATTTCACTGACATTTTCATAGGTACTGAAGCGGGGGGTATACGGTAGTAATTACTAGTATTCTACTATGTACTATTAATAACGTTATTAATACTCCGAGTACTCCCTCTTATGTAGTACGTACTAGCATTAATAGTATCAAAAACTCGTCCGGTTGGGGATATCATTCAATGGTGGTTAGATATTTTGTATGCAGAAACATTCATGTCTCAATTTGCATGTCTCCAGCTTGACAGTTGCTTTTTCCACAACAAACAGCGGCAACACATACTAACGTTAGTACTACGTAGTACGATTTATATTACAGATCTAGATCTATGTACAATCAAATCAGGAAAGTGATTTCTGCCTTCTGTACTCTTTTTTTTATGTCCCCCGGTACCGAAAATGCCCACCCCACAATACATTGTTACGCACCGTACTTGGTTAGAAAGTTTGTGGAGAACTCTCCGTCGGGGCAAGCTCGTTCGACAATACTTGCTGAGGCTACTTCCGAGAAGCACCGTTTCATATGAACTACAGTAATCTCGAAACAGCGCAATCCAAGTTGAATGAAACCAGAACCACTGTTTTATGAACAGTAAATTCTTATGCGGATGGTTGGTGGGATATTCTAATCTCACCCCCTCCCAAGTCGTTACGCTCGTAATCGCAATAAAACGCTGCTGTGGCTGCTGTGCACGCAACGACGTACGCAACCCAGGAACTTCGTGCCAACCGACCCACCACCCGACCTCATACACGACTCAATTCATACCTCTGCCAACCGCTCGCATGATGGCAGACGACGAAGATCACCAGGACAGCGACAACAATCAAGGCGGTGGTGGTGGAAGCCGTCGTCACACGGCGTCGCTGCGTATGCGTAAATATCGCACGCAAAAGAAAGAGCAGTTCCGACGCCTTGAAGCGGAATGGCAATACCTCCTACAGACCCTTCATCAATTGCAGCATCAACACACCGCGCACCACTCTGCATCCGATACGACCCATGCCCCCGCCCGCCTTGCTCCACGTGTGACGTCCCAACACGAGCGTCACCACCTTGACCAACAGCTGGCCCTCCACACGTCACAACTTCGAGGCGACGCGGAAGCCAAGTACAGACTAGCGTGCTGTTTACGAGATTGGGTGGCGTCCCAGACCCCCACGCCAGTGTGTACATTGTCGATAGCGTTTTTGTGGGTCGATTGTAACCGTCGATTGTTTTTGGCTGTGTAAATAGGGCCTAACGCCTCAAATGTCGTGGATCTATTCTACATTGTGCGCTGATCCTGCCGCCCGCCAGCTGGGCTTTCAATGGCTCAGCGACAGGTTGTACCACACATCACACTCGGTAATTCCTCAGCATCCGTTGGGGGGCCAAGGGGGGGACGCTATGCAGCTGACAGTGCACACGAATGCCGACGAGAATCCCGTTACGATTGTTGCCATGGAGTTTCACTTTCAATTCCACACTGTGTTTGCGTCGTTTGCGAACGTAGTGTCGGCCATCTTGGCCTTCAGTAACCAAGGCGGTTTTGTGGTGTCTGATGTGATTCCGTGCCAGGTACCATCCAAATTATCCATCATGGTCAGCGCGCACGCAGCAGCCTACGTCAACAATTATATCTAGACCATGATAAATGATAGAATCTGATCGCCATTGATCATGTATATATTATATATGTATGATGCCTTAGGTTGTCGAGGCTGTGAGTGACACGTTGCAATACGTGTATGGGGCCAACCGGCGCAGCGGCGTCACGATGAGGCGGGTGACCAACTTGTTTCATAATCACGACCGGACCCGGGCTGTTCAAACGTATGCAAAAGTGGCCGACGACGAGTGTTTTCCGCTCCAACATGGCGAGATCCGCACGCATGGCTTTGGATGGTTCGACCTGGATCGTTCATGCAACAGTGGCCATTGGATTGTACGGTCACACACAGATTGTTCTGGTAGGACCGTGGCAGAGCGAGTGGCAGGCAGCATCACGAAGGTGCGCGGGTCGGTCTTGCATTACGCGCCCATCACGAACGAAGGCGTGGTGTCGCTAGAATGCATGGGGAGCTTGTTTGGCATCAACCACCACCAGTTTAGTCGAAGAGAAGACTTGATTGCACAAGTACGAACCCAAGCGCAGGCAATGTATGAGGATGCGTACCAAGGTTGGATTCGAGCTCTGCGACAGCATTTAGACCATCAAGTGGGTTGAGAGTTGTTGCGAACGCTAATATATTACGAATAGAGACTAGGAAACTCAGTTGTACCGTGTTGACCGTACAATTTGGCGGAACCTTAGATATGTACCGGTAGGTCCAAACACCAGTCCAACAACGTCATGGGAAGAGCGTCGCCGCGTTGCCCTTCCGTACGTGCTTGATTGCGTGTCGATTCTTTGAAACCGCCAGCGGCGATTCAAATCGTAACTGGCGAACTACCCAGTACGTTTTGCAATTACTACAGTTTACGTTACGTACCACAACATGGTACATTCACGCTCAGATACACATACTAGTACAGTACTGGTGTCGTCCGTGTTTGAAGATGTCACATATTGATTGCGAGAGGCTTTGAGTCAAAATCCATCCGCAATGGTACTGTACCGTAGTAGTGGGTGCTTGCTTGGAGGTGTTGGTTGTGCGACTTGCACGGGTGTTTTTTACTGCGTACCGGTAATAACGTTAAAGGTTAGTTTTCAACGGTTCCAAGCTAGCGCGATGCATTGCTGGATGTATTTATGTTGCTGACGGACACTATGTGTTGTACTCATGCGATGCAACCATCGTTACAGCGACTGTAATCCGCGCAGGGCAGGATGCCAGGATGCTCATGACAGCCCAACTATTCAACATGGAAGTGCAGTATCATGGTGGCCGCTGTTAGGATACACGTTGCTTCTGGCCCGCTATAATTATCCCTGTCCACCATGATACCCCAACCCAAGTTGGGCTCACCTCGAGCATGTCGCAGGTACAATTGCAGTGCTTTGTTGGGCAATGCTAGATATCGACAACGGCGGCGGGGGTCGACTGTCTGTTGGATCTCTAGACGATCTCACGACTGCCGCTCAAGCTGGCTTGTTCCTCCTCGCCCAAAACGAAGACCTCCAAGTCCAAATCACGGAGCTGACGGCCCAAGTAGCCCACCAATCGCACGAGCTTGAGTTGGCCGCTGCCAAGTACGACTCGTGCTGGCGTCAGCGATGCCTCGCCATGAAAGAAGTGACCGACGTGCTCAAGGAGAACCACCAGCTGCAGCGCGACCTCAAGCATGCAATTGCACGTGCTCTCGAGTTGGAGCGCGACGCCGCCCAAATGGAGTCTCGCCTCCACGTTGCTGAAAGCGCACTGAATCGCATCGTCCAGCAAGACACTAAACAACAAAAGTCGCCACCGTTGCAGAAATCAAAATGGAGTGCAAAGCAGGTCTCAACTGATGACGACGTTCGAGTGCCAGAACGGGGACCATCCACCACTTTGTTGGAAAGATACGCTGAAGGATTGGAATTTGGCAACACGGCAAGAGCAGAGCCTCCAAACCAAGCAGATTCGGAAGTCGAAGACAGGGACGGTCACCCGACGGCTGTGCGAACGGCCACACCGCAAACCTCCTCGCTAGCATCGGCCTTGCTTATGGTGGACTTGGCCGCGAAGCTGGACAAATTGGCCCCACTGGAGCATTTGTACCGTCAAAGCGTGGCTGCACTCGAAGTCCAGACCAAACACGTCCAAGAATTGCAACTGGAGCAAGCAGAAGAACGAGACTTGATTGCTAGCATGCGTGGCGTGATTGCCGAACTCAAACAGGTACGCAGAAGACTTTGAACTGCAAACATGGTTGAACATGGCATATTGCATTTTGAAGCATATTCACCACCTCGAGCTATCAACTTCGACGACTCCGCTGGACGACAAGGAAGGCGAAAGCATTGACACCATCATACCCGAAACCCTCTCCAGTGACCGCGCGAACAACATCGTTCCAGCAGCGTCCGTGTCGGAGGTCATTTCCAAAAGCGACTGCGGAGGCAGCTGCCAGCATTTCCCCCAATTTAAGTCGCTAGGCGTTCCCTTGATGCTTGAAGGCACGCACCAGTTGGTCGAACAGCTAAAAGCCCACACACCCTTGATGTGGAGTCGCCCCATTGGCAGTGTGGTGACATCACATCACCTACCGAGGTCGCCACCCCCGAATGTTCCCAGACAATGCCGTACGATTAGAATTGTCCTAGTCCATTTGATTTCATGGCAGTGCGTCTGGTGTTGTAGATGCCGCCATCGCGTGCTTGCAAGACATTTGGCCCGCGGCGACGGAAGCCGATTTTATGGACTTAACGGACTGGCTGCATCTTGCGTTTCGAGGCACGGGGCTGCACCGCCCCCTTCACATGCGCAATTTGTCCGAGGACACCGTGGCGCAGATCGTTTCAACGTTGGTTCCGCTGTTGCAATCTGCGTGTCACCGGACAGTGGACATTGCACTGTTCGACCGTGTGCAGTATACCACCGACGTCATCCTTCGCTGCTAATCCTACATCGCAGCAGTCCTTCAACCTTGTTGTAATAGCGACGACATGCCACCCCTTCTCCATCCCCCTCGCCCAAGATGATCGAGTTTTTATTTTTTAATATCGACGCATGCTTTCTAAGTCAACGATGCCTTGATGAGTTTCAGTTCTTGCACGATTTTGACGGCATTGGGGCGTTTGGTCGGGCGAAAGTCCATGCATTGCGTGGCGAGGTCGAGGATCGGATCGGGGCAGCTATAGCTAAACTTGGGCTGCATCTTGCCTTGGCCCACTAAGAGGGCAATTTGTTTGTTGTCGAGGCCGCCGCCCGCGCCGCCTTCGAGGTTGGAAAACGGTGGTTTGCATGTGTCCAGTTCACACAACAAAGCGCCAAATGCGTACATGTCGGCCGCAAACGAATAGTCCGTCGCATGGGCAAGTAGCTCGGGCGCAATGTTGCCCGCCGTGCGGCTGTGGGTGTTGGACAAACTCAGCTCCACTTCCTTGTCGCGAGTGAGCCCCATATCGCCTAGCTTGGGGCAGAATGTCGTGGACAGCAACACGTTCTTCGCCTTGAGCCCCCGATGGGTCAACTGAAGGCCATGCATGTACGCCAAGGCTTCGGCAATGCCAATCGCCCACGTTAGTTTGGTCACTGGCGCCTTCTTCGCAGATAACCACTTGAACTTGGTGTTGGTTTCGTTGGCGGCCAGCACCGTCGCGAGGTTGCCCAGCTCCATGAACTCTGTCACGAGGGTCACGTCCCTGACCGATTTGTACACGACGCCCACAAACGTGACAATGTGCGGGTGTTGAAGGCGAGCACAGAGGCAGATTTCGTCCATAAACACATGCATCGTCTCGGCGCAGTCAGCACGCTTGAGAATGCATGCCAACGGCGTCTTCAGCGCCACATCGACTTCGTTGTAATGTGCACGAAACACGGCGCAATGGGTACCGTTCCCCACGAGCTTCTTTCCGCGCAACTTTCCAGCAAGTTGATATCGCGCGAGCACGGTTTCCATCGCCAGACCTACTTGGACGGGGGGGTCCAGGGCGTTGAGATCAACGCTGGCCATTGCCGCTGCCTTGCGCATTCGGCAGCACAACACTGTGAGCACCACGACCACGAATCCCAAGGATCCGGCCACGATTACCAGAATCAGTTGTTGTTGGTGGTGGGTGTCGCTGTTGTCGGTTGTATCTGTTCAGGAACAGAAACCGGTGAGAGCCGCAGGCCGATATGTAGTTGTCGTGCGTTTGTTTACCGAGAATATTCACTGGAGCTGTGATGTCGGGACTGGAGTGATTGGACATGTGCAGTAGGAGCCCGTTTGGAACAAGTTGCGAAGTGCGCTACACGAGTTGGCTGTGCGGTGGTTTTGAGGATCCAGGTCTATTTATAGATGACCCGCATCCAGCCGCTGCTTCTCGATGGCAGAAACCAACCCAAGGGGTGTCGTTTCGTGCATCAATACGTCCTAGAAATGGTAGCTACTTGTAACGTTATGCTCCAAGTATAAGAACGACCGACGAACGAACATGAGCAGGTCGCTCTTCATTTGTTGACTGTGACTTGGGATTTCATCTTCATCATTTCTGTGATTGGCTGGATTTCAACATGATGCCGCTTCTGGATTGGCTCGCTGAATTCATCCTAGCCAATGGAATCACTCTGCCATGAGTCGTTGGAAGCAATCAATCCACTCAATCATCAAGTTCAAACATGGCTTGGGGCGCGAAGACTGGCGTGACAGACTTGGTCCAAAAACTGCAAGCGGGCAACACCAAGAACATGTACGTCCTTCGAACACGTACAGTCGGTACGAGTGACGCCATTGCGCTGGCGGCGGCGTTGGCCACCCATCCGATCATGGAGGAGTTCTACTTGTCCGGCCATGACCTGGATGCGTCGGGACTGGCCGCGTTTGCATCTGTCTTGGCCACCAATTCTGTGCTACAAAAGTTGGTTGTCGGCACGTCCAGTTTGGGGGATGCTGGTGTGACATTGTTGGCGAATGGACTCGCGCAGAACGACCACAGTGGCTTAGTTGATTGGGACTTTGAGTTCAAGGGCTTTGGGAATGCAGGCGCAGCGTCTATTGGGGCCATGTTGGCTGCCAATCGCAGCATTCGCCACGTGAATGTTTCCCGGAATGCTTTCGATGGCACCGGTCTCGACTCGATCATCGCTGGCCTCCACTCGTCCCCCACCCACAATGTACAAACCCTTGACGTCCACGACAGCGAGCTCGCCCTAAGCGACTCGTCCATCCTTCCCAATTACATCCGAGACGCCAACTGCGGTCTTCGAACTGTTTTGTTCACTGGCAACCCTCTTGGACGCGCGGCGACGGCTCTTTTCACGGCGTTAGCTGCTAATACCTCGATCGAATCACTTCATTTGACCCAATGCAACCTTCCAGACGACGCGCTGATCGCTCTCGGACACGCCTTGGGTGCCAACCAAACCTTGAAGCACTTGGATATTTCGCACAGCGCCTTGTCCAGCACCAGCGTGGCAGCATTTTGCCTAGGGCTTGCCTCCAACCGCTCGCTCCAGTCGTTGAATGTGGCATCCACGGGCGTGAGCGACGCGCTTGTAGAGGCCTTGGCGACGTCGTTGCCGCCTCAGCTGACGTCTTTGAACGTCAGTGGAAACGGCCTGACGCATATCGCCGTGGCGCGGCTGTGGCAGTCGACAACGTTGACAGAACTACGGCTGTTTCACAACGCGTTGGGGTCGGGGTTTGCACAAGTGTTGCCGGTTCTTCAAGCCAACAAGACACTGCAAGTACTAGACATTGGGGCCAATGAACTGCATGGGGAGGTAGCAGCGTTGCTGTTTAACGCCCTCCACTCACACCCGAGCTTGAAAACGTTGGAAATGGGAGGAAACAACTTGGGCGACACTGGCCTAGCAGCACTTGAAGCCCTGCAAGCTGCCAACCCATCGCTGGACGTGGCCATGGATAAAGCCGCGGGCAACGAGCATGTGAACGAAGTATAACCCCCGAATAAACTCGAAATGCCCATTTGAACATCGTTTTCGTTGAACGTGCGTATAATAAATAATATGATAATGACAGACGCGCGACGTCTAAACTACAAGTTGCCACTGGTTCATGTGCACATACACCCCGACGCACACCGCGGCCGTGGCGACAGACCCAACCACAACAACTACAAGCACCCCGCGGCAGATTTCAAACAACACGATGGACAGGCCTTGGGTGACAGCGTCCACAACTTGCCGCATGACTCGGTGGTTCGTGTCGTGGTGGTCACTGCTTCCACTTCGATACAGGACAAACTTGGGGTGGACACTGCGACTGGGGCAGTTCCACACTGACTGTCGACACTTCGTCGCAGCTTTGGCGTCGCTGTCGTAGCCTTCCTCTTCTTCAATGGCGTCGAGCAATGCACTGCGCTGCCGGCCAAACTTGGACGTCACGGCCAACGACGAGCCCGACTTCATGAGAAAGCCTCTTGTCGTCCAAACAACTTGACAAATGAAGGCTACGTACAGTATTGTAGCAGCATTGTGAGTTTGCTAACATTGTAAAGATCGTTGAGTGTCACCGGTGCGCGTAATACAGTCGTGGGACCGAATGTTGGTTTTACCTCGAAAAATGTAAAGCCGCGGTGGACGTGCTCACCATGCCACTCTGAGTGTGATACAACCTGATACAAACGGCAAGTTGACTTTACCTCGTTTCCAACAGTGACGCCAGGACGTTAGCAGCAAAGTGCCCTCACTCTCGTCCGAGTGACACATCACGTCGAAACACAACCTGCTTATGTGTTGGCGACATGGACACTGGTTTCCCCGAGATTGTGGTGCCGAGCCTTGCTTTGATTGATTTAGATAGAAAACAGCGACATTTTTTATTCGCGTTTTTTCCAGGTTTCTCGTGTAAATCCAGTCGCGTATGTACTGTATTCTGGCCTCACATTTGCTGGTCGATGACATGCCATCAAACGGTATACTGCGCCACCTTCTAGCCCCCCCCTGTACCAGTGTTTGCAGGGCAATCACTTGTGTTCGAGTGCTGGATTCACTGTGTATGCGACGGCCAAGTTGTTGTGCACCCGATAATACGCTCGTAGGACAGTCATGTCCATTATTGTGTGTGCCAACCACGAGTAAGCTTACTACTGATACATGCTATCTACCGGTCTGTTGACTGTTGATGATTTATTGTCATAATGTGTCACTCGGTGAAACAATTTTGCACCGTTTTCATATGGGAAGTGTTTAGAGTTCAAGTTGATGTTGCGCGGGTGTAATACAGTAATGAATCGACGTGGGGGTAATGCCTACTGAGGTATCTTTGGTAGTCTTCCACAGTCTTCCAGGTATTTTCGGTAGTCTTCCACTGTATGATACATATACTAGTTGCAACCAACATGTTCGTACTAGTATGTTCGACCCTACTATAATACTACGTAGTACTATACTAGATATAATATGTATGCTGGGGAAGTCTTTACTATTATTATATTAATATTATACTCCTTTTAATAGCACGAAGTATACATAGTAACATTACTTTATTTGTTTTTTCCACCGAACGTGGCTTAACTATCTATCGTGTTAACGCTGTAATCGCTGCGACAAGTAGTCTTCGTATTGCATTTGCATGCGATCGATCGCCACGCGATGCCTTGCTTGCAAGTCTGCGACCTCCATCTGATGGTTGTGGGCGCTTAGTTTGTCCGCCGTCAGCACGTCATCCTTCTCGTTCTTTGTGGGCGTTGGAGAGGGGGATGCCACCAGGTCTGCCATCACTTGCCTGGACTCGACTTCAAACAAATCCTCCATGGCGAGCCCCACCATGTCGTTTTCGTCGTCGCGGCCATCCCTGTCGTCCCCCCGAGGCCTTGGATCAATCCCCCCCCGCCGCTACCACCCAAATAACGTGTGTCAAACCACCACGCAGTATGCGAGTCTGTACCATGATGGTTTCCCCAGACTCTCGTTTTCGTTGCTGTTTCTTGTAATACTCCAACTCCCCGAGCACGTCTCGCAGCTTGGCTTCGCGCTCGAGTTCGCCATGACGGTCTATCGTAGCGGTGGCATCCCATCGCAGGTAGTATTCTGTCCACAGCCGCAGACATTTCACCGATACACTAGGGACCAACACGTCTGCGTCAGGCCCAAAGCTGCGCACGTCCTTGCTGCTCGCCTGGCTGCCTTCGCTCTCGTCACTGCTACTGCTACTGCTGTCGTCCTTGCCGTGTGCGATCTGGTCGTTCCGCGGTAGAAACTCGAGGTCGTCGTCGTCAAGAGTGCTGTAGTCCATCATTCTGGCAAACGCGGCAGGGCTTGGCAGGGGCGACGCTACCGTTTCAATGACGTGGGGAAACATCAACCCCGTGTCCAGATCCTGCACAATCGAGTGGATTTTCTTCTTTGGGGGCTTGGTCTTGCTTGGCAATCCTTTCCATGTTGCTTCGTCGGGCACTTTCAAAGGCGGGACGGCATCACGACCGCGATGCGGCGATGCCAGCGCTTCCAACTGCTGCGAGCTGTCCGTGTGCACTAGCACCACGCCATCTTCTTTTTCCTCTAACCCCACCAGGCCATGTCTACCAAGTACTTTCGATGAAAATCGCAAGGATATCATGAATAGCCATGAAAATATAGTGTTTTTTTTACAATAGGGTATATATATATATAGTCCATTCAGCCCAAATTTGGACTTTTGTACTGACTTGCCAAATACATCGATCGATTTCTGTACTGAATGATGTATGTAAAATATGTCTAGCGATGTTGTCCATCACACTAATTAAATCACACTCTAATTAGTTGTTCATTGGTTGAATTGATGATTTCCTGCAATCTGATTGGCTAAAAGCTTCGGCCGATTCTTTACTACATTTGGTTGTGTCGATATAGGTATTTTATAGGATAGATACAATTCAAGATATTGCTAAATATATATATATATATATCTAGAACAATAAATAAAAAAGAGTTCACAGAGGTTATTTAAATTGTATAAATCAAATATTAAAGGAATTCTATAAAATGAATTCTAAATACATTCATTCGGCGTGTCCCTCCAATTTTGAATAAGCACGACAATAGATAGATAGAATGACAACATGCAACACGTATTCGAATAATCTTGTGGTGAAAAGTCGACACACTAATAGTCGTGAAAGAAACCCCAAACATACCCGTCCACGGACACGTGGTGGTGGCGGCGGTGGTCGTCTACAGGTTGCTGCCACTGCGACATGGGAAACTCATTGGCCTGCCGCCGCTCCACCACCCGGGCGTGCCAGTTTTGTCTGGAATACTTGCGCGGTTCAAAGTACGGATTCGACACAAATGACCGCTCCAAGCTGGACAAGTACGTCCACAGCGACGTCGTGGGGGCGCGGCTCTCTTCCACCACGCGGCGCTGCTCCGAGTCATACAAGAACGTGCCTATGTCCATGGTGAAACCAGGTATATGATAATACTAATATTATTAGACGTACCAAATCGACACGAATACAAATGGTCGAGAATCAAAATCAAGTAGCGCGTGTTGAACTCAAATGAGCACGGAAACTGCCGACACAATTGCCACACACAGTCCATCCACTGCACAAACACGACGGAAATCTCCTGGCTCGACGGGTCCGCCGTGTGCCCGGTGCGTTCGCAGAATTTGTAGCCAAAGCTGCACCAGTCCTAGAAATCAAATTAAAATAAATTTTCATCACGATATATATGTATATATAAATAGTGAGAGAGAATTTGTAGCCAAAGCTGCACTAGTCCTAGAAATCAAATTAAAACAAAATTACATCACGATATATATATATTAATAGTGAGAGAGAATTTGTAGCCAAAGCGGCACCCGTCCTATAAATCATAGTCAAATAAAAAAACTATTTCATCTCTCATGTCGATATATATATATGTATAGAAAGAATTTGATGTATAGAAAGAATTTGTAGCCAAAGCTGCACCCGTCCTATAAATCATAGTCAAATAAAAAAACTATTTCATCTCTCATGTCGATATATATATATGTATAGAAAGAATTTGATGTATAGAAAGAATTTGTAGCCAAAGCTGCACCCGTCCTATAAATCATAGTCAAATAAAAAAACTATTTCATCTC